GTAGCTGGCTAGCCGAGTGGTGCGTGCGGCGGTCAGCGTCGTCCGGCTGGGTCGTGGCGTTCGTCCGGCGGCTGTGGTCGGTGGTCCTTGGCCTTCGGGTCGTGGATCGTCGGCTCTAGTTGATCACGAGGTTGATGAATATATGTATCTCAATTACCAGGAGATCTTCTACTGTATATCTCAAAACACCTCTTCAACTTGTACCTGTGTAGCAACTAGAAGAAGATAAAACTCGAATAAGAACTGAGAGAGAGAGAGAGGGAGACGGCGCGCGTATGCGTGTGAAATTGTGTCCAACTTTTCTCTTCTCATGAGTTTAATGATGTATATATAGAGCTACAATAAGGACCTTAGGAGATTAGGAATACGACTCCTTAATTAATTAGACTAACTGTGGGCCAAACTCACTACTATAATTAAATAAATAATATTATGGGCCACCAACATAATATTATTGCACTCCTTCTTTTCTAGCCCAATTTACAATTGAGACTCCAATAATAATTAGCCGAATTACCTCCCCATGTTTAAGATATAATGTTTATTAATTAATTCGATTACTGATAATTAAGAATTAATTAATATTTATCATTTAAACGAAGTTGGCGCTCGTTCATCACATTAATACTATGCCGAAATTTAATCCATCGGCAGGGTTTAGCATAACAATCCTTCATGGGGACATCGTCAAACTAAACGTACATGGTGACCGTAAATATCCTAATAGTACATCATACGTGCAACAATATTACACAAGACAGTGAGACTATTAATCCAGTTTACTAACCTCGCCCATATGAATCAAAATAATATATACTGCATATATATGTCTATTTAATATTTTACGGGTTAAGAGAACGCAATAATTAACCGAGACCTAGTTTGTACCAATATTGTAACACCCTGCCTTACTAGCTTTGAAAAATCGGAGTAAAATTTTTGTTTTTATTTTTGAAAAATCGTGCGAGCTGTTTTTCGAAAATACTATCTTGTTGCGGGAATGCTACAGATAAAAACTTGCTTATCTTACTCACAGACATAATAAAACATGAAACCAATCAAACTTGCTTGTCTGATAGCGTCGCATAGTCTAGCTAGCGGAAGCATAAGTCTGGGAAAGCATACTTATTACACGCATACATAATAAAATTGGTTCATGAATTAAGGACATAAAATGCGTGTATAATAAATATCCTCGTGCTCATGACCACATACGCCACATTTGCTCAGCTCACCCGACACGCTCGACTCCGTCACCTGAAAACAAGTAATAATGGGGGATGAGCACTAAATCACCATGCTCCGTGAGGACCAGCATTGAATAAGACAGCATCAATAATAACGATATCATGGCATCAATATATAAGAGCTGAAACTTAAATCTTTTCTTTTCTGAACTGTGGTCAAAAGACCCTCGGCCTCGGCCGCTCGTGTGCACAACCCGTAAAATAAAGGCCTTGGCCTACATCGGGTACTAGGTGGAATACTTAGGCCTCGGCCTCCAAACGTGAGAAAACTAACTGTCTCGAACATACCTCAGTCATGGTAAAGTAATTAGTAATGATGTGGAACCCAGTACATGACCCCCACCTGGTATACTGAAATATCTGACAAGTGCTCGAAACTGAAGTAGCTGTCGGAGGCTCGACTCTCCTTAAGCTACATAAACATATAAGAGAAATAAATGCTAAGTATTATGCTCAATTGTATATGCTAATATGCTCGGTTCTATATGCTTACTTATCTGGATGAAATAGAACGCTCTAAGGGTTCGCTAATAAAATACTAAGTCCGGATTTTACACTGGTATGCTCTAACTGGACTAAATTTGGCTCGGAAAAAATACTGAAATTCTCCGAAACATACTCGGACTGGAAAAATCGAGCCAAACATCTCGAACCGCCAGGTTGAACCAGACCGGTTCGCTGGACGATCAGTATAAAACGAACTTCTCCTCTCTGGGATCATGTTCAATACATAAATGTACTAGTCCAACTAATCAATCAAGAAAAGCTGTACGGTTGACACTATAACCGTTCGGATGGGGTGTTCATTTCCATCTAAGTTGTGAACCATAATTCTTGTTTCACAAATAACTGATAGAATGGTCTTCGGTTCGCCCGATGACGACCCACTATCTAATTACAAAACAACAGAACATAGAACTTGCTTAATCTAACATGTTTCTCATTCATAAAGAGTAAAAGTGTAATATCATCCAAAGTCAAACTTTCAGTATATAACACTAGCACCCAACACCAGAGAAACAGGGAGTTGAGAGCGGCACCGCGCCTCAGGTCCGACCATCCTGACACAACTGTCAGGGCCGCCTGAGCCTCGCTCCACCTACTGACCGACGCCCCGCTCAAAACCACTATGTTCAAAATGGGTGGGATTTAATTTGAGAAACGCAAGAACATTGCAAAAGGCTACGGTAAAATAAACCGAAAATAAAGGGGCAAAAAACTATAATCTGATATCTGAAAATAAAATGCAAATTAAAAAAAAAAAAGACCATAGTAACATTAAATTTGGGGACTATCAACTGATATCTATATATCTAACTCGAAGTGGCCTTTTCCTTGATTTTTCGTCGCCGTCAGAGATCTCACGCTATACAAACCGGCCCGATTCCCGGCCCAAGGTCAGTTCCAGCCCGATCTCCTCGGGCTGAGCCGCCAGCCCGACCCCCCGATCAGTCCTCCCGACCCGGCCCACCACCAAGCTCGGCTCCACCGTCTCGACCGAGAACGAGTCGTGGCTCGCCGCCCTCTCCACCGCCCTCGGCGCGAAATCCAGCACGCCGTACTCCCGGTCGCCGGACCACCCCGTGATGGTGAACCTCGGCTCCTCTTCTTCCTCCTCCTCCTCCGCCAGCCTCACCGCACCTTTGGCAGGCCCCTTGCCCCGCCTCCGCGCCCCCGAGCCGGTGGAGACGTGGCGAATGCCGCATGGGGCGGCGGCGCCCTCGATCGGGCGGCCGCGGAGGACGGCGTCGACGGCGTCCTGGCAGCGCTGCCAGCCGCCGGCGCGAATCAGGCCGGCGTAGCCGTAAACTGGGTTGATGATCCGACCGCAGGCATCGTAAAGCAGCGACCGGAAAACCTCTGCCGGCGGCGAACAAATAATCCGTTAGCAGAAAAAACAAATTGACTGACGGGTCGTGTTTGAAATGTTTAAGTACAAACAAACTGTATATATATACACATACGTACCGGAGCGTAAATGAGAGGGGCCGGCGTCGATGAGGTTGAGGAGGCCGGCTCGGCCGTAGAACTTGGCGAGGAAGATGGCGGCGTTGGCCTGTGATTCGGCGGATTTGATCCACTGAAGTGAGGGTCGAAGGGTGCAATCGTTGCTGCAGCCCTTGCGAAGGACTCGGCAGCCATTGCAGCTCATTATTTTTTTTTATTATTTTTTTTAT